TCTTTTCGGTCAACAGGTGACCTTCATCAGCTGCAGAGTCCGAGTGATAGGGGGTGTGGGGGGGGGGGGGGGTCAGTGCTGTATTCAGAATGGTGGTATCAGCTACCCAGCTCAGAACGTGTAACAAGGGACACCGTGAAGACAGGGTCTTCTCAATGCACAACAGCCTTAATACCTTGGGGAACTGTGAACAGTGCGTGTTTAGGCGGAAAGTGGTATATATATATATATGTATATACGATAATATCTACCTTTGACTTCCATACGTGTTCTTAATGTTCCTTTTAAAATGTCTCAGTAATTTTAGGTAACGCTTAGACGAATGCCATTTACAAAAATATTATTATTATTATTATTATTATTATTATTATTATTATTATATGATGTCAAAAATAGATTTTTAAACAGAAAATTCAAAACGTGAAAAATTAAGACTGACTTACCTGATCTACAACAAATATCCCGTAGTCTAAGTTTTGTTTCTGAAACAACGGAATCATGTTATTAAGAAAAACTCTCAGCTGTGAATCCCGTCCTCGGAAAGGTATTATAATGGCGACGTGAACGTTGGGATTACAGTTCTTTGGTCTCCAGAGGCCTCCTGGTAGTAAACCAGTATCTTTAAATTTGTTCTCAAGCTCTCTCCAAGATGGCGGATTCAAGTTCACCATTCGTCTTCTAGCTGAAAAAAAAAAAGAAAAAAATTATATATATATATATATATATATATATATATATATATATATATATTTATATATATATATATATATATATATATATATATATATTTTTTGTTTTCAGATGGATGCGGTGTCTTAGAGCCTGGTTATAGGAAGAGATATAAATGTTGCATACCAGTATATATATCAATATAATGCTGTAAAAAAAGATTGGTGTTATCTGTTGTGGAGAAATTGACAAAAAAAGGAGAATTTATAAATGTGCAGGCTATCTTGGGTCCTAGTAAATTACCTTCTGCATAATAAAACGGTAATAACCATAATAAAACCATATAGTTTTCGTGGGCCATATGTTAAAAGCAAATGAAAAAAAAAAACAAACATCTGAACGTCCCGAGCGGGACTATCAATAAAAGCGATCTTCACATTAAGCTCCCTAAAATGTTGCTGTCATGGGAATGGTCATTGGGACTATAGATTGCAATAGCAGATAAACACATGTACACCCAAACTTTCCCTCTCACTGACGAGGTTAAAAGTTTCCATTTGATACAGGACCTAGCTACGAATCTTCTTTGGCTTCGTGGTAACTCCGTAACTATGTAGTAACTTGAGTGCGAGTTCCGAGTCCTCTCAAGTTATGTGTAGTTTTTTTTCCTAGAAATAATATGTTAAATTTTGCTTTTGATTAATATAAGGGGACCCTGGTTTGTACAGAGGGTGGAGGGGTCTGTCAAGGCGCAGTCGGTAGGGTGCATGGATGCTGAAAAACAATCCAAAGCGACACCAACCATGGTAACGAGAAGCCACGAGTTCGAATCCCGGATGAGGCACGTCCGTTCATCACGATAACGACATGGCCTCTGGATCGGGAAGTCACGGGAATGAATGCGGACTCTCGTGGGTCCTAGCAAAATATCTTTTGCATAATAAAACCATATGGTTTAGAAAAAATGATCGATTTAAAAAAGAACATATTCCTGAGTACAATAATATTTTCTTTCTCTTCGCTTAAAGCTCCTTAAAATGGTGCTGTCATGGGAATGGTTATTGATCTCTATCCTTTACCAGCTACTCCACAGATCACACTTGAATTGACCTATAGCTAAAACCCTACGGGGCCTTGCCTGTCATACTGCAATTTCATCAAAATGTGCTATCTTCTTGGAGGGATTATCAGAGAGAAAAGTTTTTATTTTTTTTTAATGTCGCGTCGCCTCTATTGCCTTTACCCCCTTCCTATCTTGGGCCCTTGCTCCTTAAAGACTGTTCACATGTTCATACAGTACCCGGGGCAACTCCACAGTCAACACTGAAAGAGTAAAGACTACTCAAGTCTGAAACCGCCAAGGTGTGAACAGCTGTGGACCTCATTGTGCTCTATATGTATAACGTCAATGGTGAAACCAAACGTTATCTCAGTGTAAAATAAAATGAAAATAAAAACATCTGAAGCCATCTAACTAGGAACGTTCCGAGCGGGATATCAATGAAACCGATCGAACTTGAATTGACTCAGTAGCTGTCCGGTATAACACCACGCCATACCACCTGTTAACCGCGTTCACCAGAAAAAAAGTATAAAACAAACTCCTAGTTTGCAAGCAGTAAAATATGACCATTTTAAATAAATAGTAGAAAATATACTACTGACCTGCAGCAGCAATGCAACAAGCGATATTTAGTGTTTTCACTTGCATAGATCTTTATCATATCCTCTTAGTTACTGTAAACAGTGTCCCTATGAAGAGGGATACTTGCAAATCAATAACTCTATCATAATGCACTTGCAAATAAAAAAATGTTATTCATACGATTGTGATGTGTTACTCTTCTAATCACTCGCAATGATCTTTAACAGCAATTTTGTTTAGTTGAGAGGGTATTGTAACTTGCTGCTCGAAAAAATACGCTATAATAATAAAACTATTATAATTATTTTATTCATTTATTTATTGCTGGTTTTGGTGGTGCTGGTGAATTTTGTTGTCCACTGCATCTTGCGGTGACATACATTGCGGTGACGTCTTTGAGGTCGGGGTTTGCCCTTGTCAAAACTAAACAATTTTCACCTTCATCTTCACTAGAAGACAAAAGATTAAAACACAATGACGGTATAGGTTTAATCATGACTATATGAATAAGACTATGTGATTAAGATAAGTATTACATCTAACTTTTCCTTTAGTATGGTTGCTTGGAGGCAGTGCAGCTGAGGGAAGCTTCGGAGGATTCATATACAAATATACTGTACATAAATATGACCCTCTACCAGGGCCGCAGATTAATTATGTGAACATTTCTAAAACGTAAAGAAAATATATCTCTGTTTCATGAATTACCTAGAAACATGGCTCTCTTGGCCAAGAAATTTTAATTTAATTTAAAATTTCCTTTATTAAATAGCTTGTTTGATTTGCCAACAATTTGGGACATTTTAGATCGAAATTCTTTATAATGTTATTACTTTTTGAGGAAGTCAATTTTGCCCTAGAATGTACATGTATAATATATGTGGATTTGAGATCACACAACGTGCAAATTCTGATTCAAGGTTGGGTTTGGGTTAATTCTGTCCACCAGTGTCTATCTGACGCTTATGTGAGCTTTTCTGAAATTAAACACTCTATTTATGACGTCTTTCCTTTAAGGTATCTTAGTAGATTTTTTTGTTGAATTTGGCTTTAAATTGGCAATGCATCAATGTTTCATTTAGCATTTTACGGGTTTACATTGTTCATCGACTGATTGCAATTTGATGCATTTATATTACGTATTTTATCATCATTTAATCTATTCTATTAATATTAAATATCTGAATATACCTCTTGCTACCTGGCGCCTTATCTGGTACATATAGTTTATGTAGAGCAAAGGACATAACCCAGCAGCAAAACAATAAACAATGATTTAGGAGGTCTAGTACTAAAAAGTTTTAAATGATGCTTTGTAAAAGTCAGAACCTTCATGTATTTGTGGCATACCGGGTTAGACAGATAAACAGGCATTTTAGTCCCTTATTTTCGAGGTGTGGTATATTTTGACTTGTAACTTGTAACTTTTAAGTCTAAAATTTTTTTTAAAGTTTAAAAGTTCCTCTAACAGGTAACAGTCCAATTTTCCATATTCGAGTTTTGTCCAAGCAGCAAATCAAAGCATTTTCTATATAGCAATAACATGTTTATAAATAGCCCACCTTTTGTGTAAATTAATAGAAACTAGTTGGAGGGGCATAACTTTACAGTATATACATGTACCAATACATGAACAAAAATGCATAACTTTCACCCAGATCTTGTGTTGAAAATAAACACAGAACTATCCGGTGGTGTTGCTGTTCTACAATTTTTCCAATATCTCATTTTGTGGTACTAAGACCCATTTGCATTTTACTAGTAGAACTCGACCTGTTAATTGTAAACACATCGGAAAAGGTCATGACGCAAAAACCTTGAATACACCACTCTCAAAAATAAATAAATAAATAAATAAATAATTAATTATTTAAATAAATAAATATAGAAATAATAGTCATTAATATAGAAAACCTATATTTTATAGAAAACCTTTGTATGGTCCATATAAAAATATGAATATAAGGGGATCTGGAAGTATAGAAATTTTGTTTTAACCTAATATAGGGCCTATACCCACAATGGACAATAGAAGTGTTACCCCCACTGAACCAATACTTAGGGGGAGATAAATGACTGTGGAATGATATGCTCCTTGTATCATTTTATTAAGATCAAATTTCACAAAAAAATGTAGACCAGGCATTATAACTACTCAAGATCTGCCTACTTTGATTATTGATTACTTGATTATTATTTTATTACTCTGATTCAGGGGGTGACACTTCTATTGTCTGTTGTATATATATATATATATATATATATATATAGGGCCTATATATATATATATGTATATATCTTGATAAAAAGATAGGAACTGTATAGAGGATTCATTTCAAATTACGACTACCTTGTTTTGAATTTAAAAGCATGACTGACTTGATGGATATCTGACTTGGTTTGTATCTGACTTGTCCCTTGGTCCCAATAACCTGCCTAAATAAACTCACCTAAAGCCGTTTCTTGGATAGAACACGTCTTATTAAGTCCTTCCGCATTCCTGGTGACAGAGTCTTTTATTTTTAAAATACTGGAATTCACTTTTGATGGTGTATCTGACATCCTGTATGCATATGAAGTGTTAACGGAAAATGAATTGCCATAAAAAGACGAAATAATTTTAACTGGATACTGCGCTAAAAATGATAAGAATGAAATTCCTTCTGATTCACGTCGGCTGTCAGTGTTGTTGAGAGTTAAGTCACGTTTTCTCGTGTATCTTTGCTTTTCTGTAGGCCTAAACTTGTAAAATATCAATGCCTGCAGTAATAAAAGACCCACCAGAAGCCCAGTCATCCTTTTTAACCGCACACGTATCGGTAGCTGCGTGGCAATTGCCGCCATATTGTTCTCAGCTCTTCTGTCATCTCTGCAATTAATCAAAGTCGCGAGAATACACCAATGACTGGCTCAGCTTGTTTATCTTAATATGTTCCAGCATGTGTTTTTCTTATTTGATCAACCTTGCCTTGACATTGCCGATTGCATCTTTATCAATCGAATGTTATACTATAAATAGTATTTCTTAAATATACTATAATTAGTATTTCTTCGAAGGTTCCTTTTTAACTCCTTCTTCTTTTCCGTTTCCTCGCAACAAAAAGATCTAACACGCACTGTATGCATTTAAGATGAATATGAAGTCAATTTTTTGCCACAAAAGCCCTCCAAATGCCAGTATATAGATTCAAATATTATAACTAAGAGAATTACCAAAATACATGGTTAAATATTATCATATTAAATTATATTTGAACGGATTTTTCTGCTAGCTTTTTATGCTTTTTATAAATGGGGCAGAAAGTAGGTTTAATTTACACCATTTACAAAAAGTGGCAATTTTAGCATTTTTATGGTTGATTAAGTGATTTATCTAGTTTAACCCTTAATATGTGGAATCAATTTCAGTCGTAAAGTTATAAATTAATTTATAATTTGCCAAGTTTTTGTCATTATACCGTAGTGATGAATACGGTATAATGACAAAAACTTGGCAGATCAACAATATTTGAACCAAAGAAAACAAAGTCTATGTTCAAGTAATCTCTCTTCAAAGAGCTTTGTATTTGATCTACAGTGTAGGTGACATGTTGGACCTCGCTATCTATAGTATATCAGTTGAACTGGGGATTTGCTCTGGTGACAAACTATAAATAGTATTTCCAGGAAGGTTCTCGTGTTATTCTTCCTTCCGTCCTTCCTTTTTTTTTTCTATTTTTTTTTCTTTTTTGCTGCATAAAGGTTTAACACGCATTGTGTACTCTAAGGACGCAGAGGATATGGTGCTATATATTATGATATGTCTAACAATTTGTTGGACTAAGGCCCATGTGACATGATTCAAATTTCGCAAAAAAATAAAAATGTTATGTGAATATAAATAAATAGAAATAATAAAAATAAAAATAAAATAAATAATTATAATAAAAGTAATAAATACATCTGCTCGCAGAGCGAGGAGTTGCGAACTATAACACACTTTAAATAGAAAAATAAAATATAAAAACAAATACTGCAAAAACAAAGGAATGAATGGAAGAGTGCACAGGATATTTGAGCCTTTCGCAGGCTGTGCTGAATAATGGCCACGTTCACAACCAGTTGATCTGAGGACTATCTAGTCCACGGATCAAATATGGCGCGCACTTTCCATTAATGGATTCCTGTCTCTAACGCGCGCCGTTCCAGCAGGGGCAGAGCAATGAAATCTCGGCACGTTTACCAGTGGGTCGCGCCATATTTGGTCCGCGGACTAGTCAGTCTTCGCATTGACTGGTTGTATATTCGGCCAATTTTCACAAACGGAAGTTAGAGCACTCTGTCGCTTGTGACATTCCTCCAACTGTCTTTGAGATTATAATGAACAATCCATTCATTCGTGTAGTTTCGTTCACAGACGTCTTACAGATTAACAGTTCAAATCCCCTACATATGCCGTTCCCGGTCGATGAATTGGGTGAGACCTGGTACGTTGGAAGGAGGCATGACCCAGCATCACTTCACACAATCAGTGAGATTAGCCTACATTAAAAAAAATGCAATTTGTTTTAAATTTCAATGGGCGTTTCCCATATTCATTTAAAAATTGGAGATTTTTTACATTTAGGCAATAAGCATGATCCTTGTGAAAATCAGTAAGCTTTATCTTAGAGCAATTACCAATCTACTGATTTTTTTTTTACACCAATATATATAAAAAGTGACCTCTGACGCCGAACAAAAATCTGACCACAAACAAACAAAGCAGATCACATACCTGCAAAAATTCTTGTTTTTTAATTGTTTGTCAGTATACCGCAGTGATTAATTAATTGTTTAAACCAAAGAAACAGAAATCTACGGTATCAAGCTCCAGACACTACCTGTATATTGGGCCGTGGACGTCAAAATTACTTTCTCTTTCATCAAAGACGCAGAAAGAGGGAGAATATGTGACTCGTCAGCGACTAATAATCTCCGAAAGCGCAAGCGTGCTATTTCTCGTATCTTCCACCATATTGAAAATAGTCACCATAAAAAAAAAAAAAAAAAAAAAAAAACCGTAAGGGGATAATTATTCAGCCAGACACCCAGATGGAAGCCGGTAACATTCTTTGTGTAATGAAAAGCTGGGTTTTACTTTGTGGTAGGCCTACTATACTAATTTGTGACTAATTTGTGCATTTGTGCTCCCAAATCTAAGGCTCGTTTTAGAAAATAGCCATATCGTTTAAGAGGCCAGGGTTTAACGCCAGTTTTTATCGTAATCTCTTTAAGAAGAGGTTTTCATTTGATCTAGGTGACATTCTGACCTCGGTATCTGTATCAGTTGAAATGGATGATACGGCAACCGGACTAAAATAGCATTTCCAGGAAGGTTCTTTTCTTTTCGCTTCTTTCAATGCAATTTTTTTGCTACAAATAAAGTTCTATATGCTTTTAAGGGCATTGAGGAGATTGATACAGATGTTAACTTACAATTTGATAGAAATAGGCTTGAGCGGTTTAATTCGAATTTCGAATACTGATCAGTTTCATCTTCAAAAGGTTGCAACTACAAATGCAGATATATAAAATATGGCTATATATATATATATATATATATATATATATATATATATATATATATATATATATATATATATATATATATATATATATATATGTTTTAGATTGGCCTGGGCCCACCCGAACACAAGAAGTTCAATGAATGTGTAGATTGTGTTAGTTGTGACACTACCGCGTGGCGGTCCGCCGGGGGGAATATTCCTTGTTAATTTTATATTGGATAATTGTCAAAGCTTTTTTATGAACTGTGAACGTACGAGAACAGCTTAAGTCAGCTTGGAAAAATTATGTGAAAATAAAGAAAAAGAAAGTTTATGAAAAAAAAAAAAACATGAACGCAACTTCACTATTTTACAGGGGTAGGCCTACGCCTGTTAGTCCGAGGGCGCAATGTTCCGAGGGTCCGATCGATTTTCCGAAGACTGTAGGAGCCAAGTAAAAAAAAAAAAAAAAAAAAAAAAAAAAAAGGACCGCTGTTCCGAGGGTTCGATATTCCGAATGATTTTTAGCCCGAGGGCACGCTGTTCCGAAAGAGTTAAACGCAGTAGGCCTAATATTAGGGCCTACTTGCATGTGAAGAGAGGCGCGTTTTGACTGTCATTTCGCCACGTGTGCGTTACTGTTAGTATATTGGGTAAATAGAGAAAATTTTTGATAGCAGTTTATGCAGCGCATGTTTAATTTCCGACGCCGCTATGGCTTCGGAATAGCGGACCTTCGGAGCAAAAGTTCCTCCGAACAAAAGACCGTCGGAATGTAGGCCCTATTATATTAGGCCTACTCCGTTATTCATTTAGCTACTAAAATTATCATTTTTCAAATGGGCCTACTAGGTAGACGTTAAAAGTAAAATGTATGTCCGAACAGATTTAAAAAAAATAGTAAAAATAATGAAAAAAATCAAATATTTTCAAGTTAAATAAGCACTACTTAGCTTTAAACAGTGTTTAGCCTAATGAAAATAAGAATGTTGTTTTTCACCAAACTGTTTCATACATTGGCGCTGCCACCTTTTGTGTTTACTGCACGTCAGTACTGGAATGTTCATACATTATGTATTAGTATTATGAAATGTTGATAAAGGAGAAACATTTGGATTATTTAAATATTTTACAAGTGGCCACAAAATTCAAGTAATCCGCCATTGTTCACGCATGCGCATTTACAACCAAAGTTAAAGAAGCTGGGTGAACTTCTGCAGAAGCTGTGCTGTATTTTGAAGGTAAGTATGTTGAAACTTGGCGTAATTTTAGCATAAATGACATCTTTAAATACATTTCTAGTAAGAGGCGTAGGACAGAATCCTTGTTCTTACCGGGTTCTTGGTGTAACCGCTTTGTTTACGTAAATTCCATGCCAACCAAAATGGCAAAATGCCGGCGGAATCGGTGGCGGAATCTCGCTCTCACTGTGTCTCAGAAAACGATGTTCTTTTCAGTATCGTCAAGATGTCACAGGTGCAGCATATACCTTCATTTATTGACATGTGTGTGAAGCGCTCGGACACACACACACGCAAACACACACACACAACACGCACGCACACATTTACACGAACACACACGCACAGCTCTGTCTTTGACTTTGATAAACTGAAAATTGAAAATTGTTACTAGTACAGTATGTTTTGGTGTTGAAGTAAGTATAGTGTTTGATTTGCCCAAGTTTGAAATATATGTTTTTTGTCAAATTTTGTTAAAGACAAATGTTGAGGGTTGTCACATGTTTAATTGGACTCACATGTACCAGTATGTAGTTTGTTTATGCATGGTACATGTAACAACTAAATGTATATAATGGCTGTTAAAAGATTAGACAGTATTTACTTGGAATTAAAAAAGTGAAAAGGGTATATATGAAATGTATTGCTGTTTAGATCCATACATGGCAAAATAAAAATTTTTTTTGGCAATTAATTTAAATGATTTCCCCTACTAGTGCTGTATAGTAACCATACATAATGTCAAGTGTACTGTATATTATACACTGTATCTTAGTCATAGCTGCATTAATAGTTGAGCCCTGTGTTGAGAAAATCATGCTATGTAAAGCTGTTTTCAAGTTCTTAGTTTGAAAGCTACATGTTGGTATTACTCTCATATTAGAGATGCCAACTGGTGGATTTCACCTGTAACAGTAAAATATATGATGGCAATGTACAACACATTTTATAAATTTAGAATCACAAAATAATTGTGCCTGTTTCCTCCATCTTGTGGTATGCATAATTCAAATTGTGAAATATAATCTACACGTAAATGCCCAATTACAGCTGACAGCCTAAATAAACTTTAGATCAAAGGCTTCTGGTGAAGGAAAACAAAATTGAACTTTGGAAACAACATGTAGTTTTGTAAACTGATCTTGTTAGATTCATTC